ATGTTTTGTTGCTCCCTGAGGCCAAGATGCTGATAATGCTTCCTTTACTGACTGCAAATTCCGCGGACGCGGAACACTCGCTTACCTGCTGTTTGCGCTATAGCAGATGGCAATTTACCAGTGCGGTGATAAGGCGCTATCTGTTAGTGTACTATCAGGGCCTGGCGGTTGAATCACAGACGTCATTCCCTGGAAACTTGTTCCACCATTTCCAACGCGTGCACGCCATGGCACGGAAAGGGTTGCAGCTAATGCAAGCCAAACACAAACAAGGCTTGCCCGTTGCGTCATTCTGCCGTTTGATGGAGTTTAAACAAATCTTTATCGTCGTTTAGATTCGATGCGCGATGAATTACGCTGATCGTTTTGACGATGAAGATCAGGAAAACAAGGACAGTGGAGTTTGCTCACTGGAGCAGGGCGCTGAGTGCAGTAAGATTAGCCCTGTAAATCTCTCACTTGCGACACGAGACGGTCGAGTGGAGATCCAATACTTGCGACAAGGTTAATGGGAATTAGCTTTTGGAACCCTTAGAGCGGGAGGTTAAGGTTTGAGACGTTGTTTTTATGTAACAGCTTCCTCTTTTATCATAGATGCCTTGCGCATCGTGGATATTTCCCCAGACAATGCTCGTAACATCGCTGTCAAATGCCAAGATGAACATCAACGGGTGCCAAGCTGTCAGAGGCTTCTCCCGCCCTGCCAAGAGATCAAGCACGGTTTTAATTGGGAATATCTCTAGCTTCTTCGACTTCATTTCTATAGACAATTGAAGATGTGCTGCAAATACTCACCACCACAATTAAACACACCTTGGCATAGCCTGTTGTCGTGGGCCATCCATCCGTGCGTATGCATATTATACTTCTCACCTAAGATTTGAACCAACGAGGATCAGTACCCAAACTCTATCAATGACTGCATCCCGTACATCCCATTCCTCCTCCCATGACATGACACAAGTCAAAGTCGGTCCTACCGCAGCCAGACCCGTTTATATCCCCCTTCTCCAGACTCCAGTCAGATAAAAGCGACCTGTCTCTGCCCAATAGCCACTTCTCATAGTATGTTAGCCTCCCGATCGGCAGCTTGATAAGAGTCCTTACGGCTAGCTCGGCTCCGGGCCCGCCCCAATGATACAGGTGCTACGCCATTTGCTGCCAACTGCTCAATTTCACACGCGCACGCAGATCCAGCAGCGGATATTCCGGGGTAAGAAACTTGAATCTATGACAAATAGATTCCTCAAAAGATGACACTTTCCCCAGACTTGGGAGGAGCCCTTTGCGCGCACCTTATCGAGACTGCAGGACAGGACATCACATGTAACACCAGATAAAACATGCCTCCCCAAACCTGTAATGTAGTTGGAGAGGAATCGACGGCAATATCTTCGGATCCGAGGATGCACAGGATTAAGCTACAGCCTAACCTCAGCTCTAAAAACTTCCGATCAGTAGCACTCTTCTTTTCCCTACGTCAGCACGCGACCAAACGGTTGATAGGCTAGTTTCCCTCTCTTCCCCTGCTCCTTTTTTTCGGTGGCTTAAGCTCTGGTTCATTCGAGTATCCACTTCTTTTGCCCCAGCTGAGCAAAGTGCCGCTTTATCCGTGAGATAGAGGAGCAAGCCCCCAGTCTCCAACAACGGATCACCACAGCAATTCGAGCTGTGAAACCAACAATCAAATCAATGCAATGCTCCATGTTATTACGTACCCTTCCCAGGTACCTATCTTTCTCTGCATCCTTCCAAGAAACCACCTTCCGCTTTTCATTTAGGTCCGTGTGAGAGATGATCCCCCCGAGTTGCCACTTTTAGCTCGAGTACTGTAACAGCCGTATTGTATATATCTACCATTAGCCCGCGCTGTCTCTAATTCCCTCTGATCCTCTGACTCCTCAAGACATTGAAGTTTATCTAAGCATCTCACAATGTCGGAAATCCATCCTAAACAAGAAGCCCTCGAGGCTCAGGATACATCACCGCGATATGATGAGAAGCAGGGCACCACTGAGCCCATTGAGGATGGCCCCAAGCAGTCATGGGCGCTGCGCAATGGGCTTACTCCCGGCTCATTCGCTCCTCATGACGATTACGCAAAGGGAACCGCTGAGCTGCAGCGTGAGATGAAGCCCCGTCATCTTAACATGATCGCTATTGGTGGCAGGTCAGTCATTTTCGTTCTGTCGTCATCGTGCAACGCCGGCTTATTGCCGCCCTGCTAAATGATGACGCGCTAATATTGAATTGGTGTGCTAACTCATTTGCAGTATTGGAGCTGGTTTCTTCGTCGGTAGCGGTTCTGCTCTGCAGACTGGTGGCCCTGGTTCATTGACTATTGGTTTCTTGATCATGGGTGTCATGATCTTCAACGTTGTCTATGCTCTCGGTGAACTTGCTGTCATGTATCCCGTTTCTGGTGGTTTCTATACGTGAGTTTCCGTCATTTCCAATTAAGACGTGAGCTAACAAATCACCAGCTATGCCAACCGATTTGTTGATCCCTCTTGGGGTTTCGCCATGGGTTGGAACTATGTCATGCAATGGGCTTTCGTTCTTCCTCTTGAGTTGACAGTTTGCGGCACAGTCATTCAATACTGGGCTCCGCATACTAGCGTAGCTATCTGGGTCAGCGTAAGTTCAGCCCCCATGAAGCTATCGTGAGTCTGTCGACTGACATGTTACAGGTCTTCCTTGCTGTTATTATCCTCGTCAATATTTTCGGTACCCTTGGTTACGCCGAGGAAGAGTTCTGGGCTGCACTGCTCAAGCTCTCTGCCACCGTTATCTTCATGATCGTCGCTGTCGTCCTCGTTTGCGGTGGAGGTCCTTCTGATGGAGAGTACAGCACTTACCAGGGCGCCAAGCTCTGGTATGACCCAGGTGCCTTTCAGCACGGTTTCCGAGGCTTCTGCGGTAAGACATAATTCCCTATTTCCGTGATGCTCTTCAGGTACTAATGGTCCCAGGTGTGTTCGTCACCGCAGCCTTCTCCTTCAGTGGAACAGAACTTGTCGGTCTCGCTGCTGCCGAGGCCAAGAACCCCGCCAAGGCTCTCCCTGGCGCCATCAAGCAGGTCTTCTGGC